CACCGATTGTACACCCATCCCAAACAACATAAGCATATTCCATCTTAGAGCGAACAAGAGATTTATACCAAATTTCTAAGGTTAATCTAGGCAATTTAAATGTAAAGCCTTTCAATAGGTTAAGGGTCTTTGAAGCATTTTGTTGAATTTTTTCAATATGAACTTTCCAAGACATATTACTGGAAAGTAGGACACCCAAATGCTCGTGGCAACTTACTTCTTCAATTGGCTTTTCACTTAGCTTCGAAATAGGATGATCACGTTTGGTTTTTTTTCAGGGAGAAAGTCATGCTCTTTGTTTTGGAAGCGTTCATTGTGACTAACCATTTACTAGACCACAGTGAAATAGAATTTAAGTCTTTATTCAAAGAGTGAGCCGCAGATTGTGGTGAGAATACTTCCTACAATAGCATAGTATCATCGGCAAAAAGAAAGCAGTCACTATCAATATCATGTTGAATATCATTAATATATATTAAAAACAGAAGCGGGCCCAGAACAGATCCTTGAGGCTCTCCTGCATTAACTTCTTTCCAAGATGAGCTACTGCCTTCAATAACTACTTAGCCTGCGTAGCAGGCGTTTAGCTGACGGGCGGGTACAGAGGGAACGCCTGCCCAAATTGGCTATGACAAATTTGTTTTCGCCCATTAAGGATGATTGACGTTTTGTAATTAGCACCTTCACCCATTATCCAATCATAGTTGAGATTTATATTTAGCATCATGCATGCTTTTTGCTTGGCAACTACGGAGATTTGCAGAGATTTTATGCACTATTTAAAACACGAGCAGCAGTGTTTTATCAGATATAAAGATGGCCTTGATAAAACACACACTGCGAATGTTTTAAATTGCTTCAAAAATGATCAGTCTAGTATACGTTCATTGGCGAAGTAGCTTTCAAAAAATTTGGTGTGTATATGTAGAGAAAATCATTAAAATTTATGTAAATCAAGGGAAATCTCTATCACATATCAAGGATACGACACGTTTATGATTTTTCTTTGTGTTTTCCTCATGAATTATCGAGTTTTTGAAGCTATTTTAGACAGTCAGTCACAACGTGCACAGAGCTTTTATCTCTTAAAAGACTCCTGAACCACGGTTGTTTAACATATTCTGCCGTATAGCAAATATAACAGTTGAGCATGTTTTGAAATGTTATTCTTAAAATCATCATTCAACCTCATAGCTGCAATGCCAATTGATATAGCCTCAACTATCTGGTCTTGAATTATACTTTAAAGTGAACAAATAACAAGACAACTATATTAACGAAATATTCAGGATATATTTCAAATGTACAATTATATATATATAATATATTTCAAACTTTTCTGTATTCCTAGGAAGAATCACGATAACCGGCATCTTCACCACGTAGCAAATTAATAATATACTTTCTCTGTTCTGGTTCAATTGAATTTCAAAGCCTAAATACTTGAAATCTAAGAAAGTTTCCTCGAAAGCATTAACAGGCGGCATATTTTTTATATGCGACTACAAACGCGTCAATGCGAGCAAAATTATTGTTGACATTTGAGTTACGTAATTACTTCCGTTAACGAGATTAACCAATGGAGAAGAACAAATTAATCATAGGCATTTGGGCAGGCGTTTATTGAATGATGCCCTTTCTTCTCCCGCTTGCACTAAACGCCTGCTACACAGGCTAATAACTGCTCATTGCTGCTGACTTTTAAGATATGATTCAAACCAATTTAATAAGGTACCTTCTACACCAAGATTTTTCATTTTTGCTAATAGTCCAGCATACCAAACCTTATCAAATGCTTTTGATATATCTAGAAATACAGCTCGTACCTCTATCTAAACAATCATATATTTTGTTGACTATGTAAACCAATTGCATAACAGTAGAGTCACCAGAACGAAAACCAGAATGAAATCGGTAGAAAAAGCCAATGCTTTCAAGAAAGGTATACACTTTTATAAAAACCACCTTCTCACAAATTTTACTTTAGCAAGAAAGAAGTGCTACGGGGCGGTAATTGGATTTTATTTATTTATTATCTTTTTTAAAGAGTGGTAAAACGTTTGCTAATTTCCAAGATTGTGGAAACTGACCAAGAGAAAGTGATGTATCCATAAAATTCGTGAAAGACTTGTAAATGCCATGATTACAAAGCTTAATAATTTTATTACTAATTCCATCCATCCTGCAGGCTTTGGCAGTATTCAATTGACTAATTAAATTTGCAACTTCAACTTCAGTTACAATAATACTTGATAAAGTAGAATTTAAGTTGGGAGAAAGTTCAGGTAGTACTGCAGTCTCGGTTGGTAAATAAGTCTGACTAACAAAAAAATCATTAAACAAGTCAGCTTTTATAAATCTTTAGAATCGAATACATACTCATTATCTTCATATAATGGTGGTATTGCTGAGCTAGCCTTAGAACCGTAAAACGATTTCGCTATGTTCCACCGCTTTTTTGTCGATGTTTCAGGGTTAGACAGCAGTTCATTAGTTTTTTGTTGGTAGTCTAATTTAGCTTTACAATTTTTTATTAGTGCAGTACTTTTCCCACTTAAAGGAAGATTTAAACTTAGTATAGGCCTTTAATAATCTATCGCGCTTACGTATAGCTTGACGAATGGCTCCATTCATCCAGGGTTTGTCTCCTGGGCGGATCATTACATTTTTTTTTTAATATACCGGTCAACTATCGATGAAAACAATTCAATTTTCATAAATAACATCTATATCAGACGTGAAATCACGAAAAATATTTTCCCACCCGGCTTGTATAAGAGCATAATTTAACTGATTCACATCAATATCGCTAAAATTCCGCACTGTTCTTACATAACATCTTGTTTTTGGTTTAGATATTGACAGTTTTCCAAATACTATATTATGATCGCAATTTGACGGTGGACTTAAAGGACAATGGCAACAAAATTTTTTATTGTCTATATTAAAAGTGTTGCTTCATCTAACTATAAATATGATATCAATACCGTGTCAAACATTTTTGTTCAGGAGTTATATGCATGTTATTTCACTGTTAATTTATATATTGTCGGCCATCTTGGCTCGTATTTGCAAAAAATTATCTTTTGGGTAATATGACCCGTATGACGTAGATGGCAGGGTAGAATCAAAACAACAATATATTTTTGTATAGCGTGTATCGAGATTTAATACGTTTTCTCAAAAAATTAATGCTTTTGAGTCATTTTAATGGAAAATATTCACGAGAACCAAGTAGGAGAAGTGTTATCATACCAATATGAACCAGAAGTAGGAGAAAAACAAGCAATATTTTAATTTTGGGACAGGTATAAATATGAGAGCATATATTCTAGTCACATCGTCGCGACGATAGTTTAATGCTTTGTGCTTATACAGAATTCAATCCACGCTTTTCTCCTATATTGCTGATCTACCGATTTGCCCTTTGGAAAATTGAAGAAACAGATTTCACTTGTGTGTTGGCTGTCACTATTACAACCGTAGACGGCAATACATGTTTTGCAGTGCACCTTACGTTTTATATGAACAATCTAGATATTAATTTTTTTTTCTGTGTTGGTGTAGTGTACTCAGGTGAATATGATATTTGTGATGTTACTCTGAGTGCATATCCACACCGGGCGAGCTTGAAAAAATATGCCCGGCCACGGTGGGATTCGAACCTACGACCTTTGGAACACCAGCCCAATGCTCTTCCAACTGAGCTACGCGGTCAGGCCAATGCTCTTCCCAATCTCTTCGCGGTCAGGCCAATGCTCTTCCAACTGAGCTACGCGGTAATATCACTTGCTCGAACCGTCCTGACCGCGTAGCTCAGTTGGAAGAGCATTGGGCTGGTGTTCCAAAGGTTGTAGGTTCGAATCCCACCGTGGCCGGGCATATTTTTCAAGCTCGCCCGGTGTGGATATGCACTCTTAGTAACACCACAAATATCAATCTAGATATTTTCGTTATTCTAGCCGTACTCAGAGCTGACTATATATAATATTTGCAATTTCGGTGATATATATATTCCCACACGTGAATTTAGGATATTTTACATAACAATGAAAATATTGATAATATTGGGAACTATACACTACAGTACATGCATATATTTACCTATATAAAATGAGAACCAAGTAAAACTACATGTAAAAATATATCACAACATATAACCAGATTATAGTTATTTTACACTTAACTCTTGTCTGGGAAAATCCCATACTGACCTTGAATGTCAATTTACTAATTTGCGCAATGTCTAACTTACGCGACACTACACATTACAGAAGAGGCAAATCTTGTTTGTGAGATAACAGCTATTTCACTAGCATAGCAATGTCGTTTGAAAGCCTGCTTAGTTTTAAAAACAATTAATAGTTGTGAAATCTGAAGCTAGAATTATCCACTGCAACATTGTTGCAGTTCCGCCAGTTAATTGGTTGAATTATTTTTGTATTAATAATAATAACAACACTTTGAAACACTAAATACTCAGTATAATCTTTTATTTCAATGCAAATTATTTCTATATTTCTGCAACAGAGCATGCACATACATAAATGTATATGCTATACATATATACATAGCATAACAGAACTACCTTACTACCATAACCGGAGTCAATGTCTAAGCGCATTTTACAACGCAAATATACGCTTACTGTCGAAAACACAGTCACAGACCATTGGTAGTAAGCTGCTACACATTATTGAACTATGAATACACGTTGCAACGTATCTGTATTTTTTGTGTAAACATTTTCTTCCAAATCTCAACGTTGTTACAGTGTAACTTATGCTGTGGGATTTGCGTTTACCCTGCCATCTACGTCACGAAATGTATTCATGCATAAATTAGCATACGCGGAATTTTCCCAAGATGGTGGACGACTGTTAAAATTTGTTAAACATTTTCGCAAATTATCTGAACAACTAAATGCAATAGACAAACAAAAATATGAAATTAAGTATTCCATTAGTAAGCTTAATAAATACAGACAATAAAAAAAATTTGTTGCCATTGTCCTTTAAGGAACCTGTCGAAACAAACAGACCTGGTGAATCGGAAATAATGAGGTCTAGAATAGACTCGACTGACTCAGTTATTCTAGTAGGTTCCTTTACAAGTTGAGCTAAATTGTTGCATTCTAAGAAGTGAAAAAGTTTTGAGTCCCACATCAGTATTGGGCATTGTGGTATTAACAAAATTATAATGGTCGTTGAAGTCCCCCAGAAGAATAACAGACGTATAGTTACTACTCCTAATATTGTCTAAACAGTCTTGAAGTGAGGAAAAGAAATCATTAATCTGAGATGCACTGGAATTGGGAGCCCTATAGCAAACACCACGTAAAAATTTGAACTTGTTTAAAATAACTTCTACCCATAACAACTCCATGCCTGGACAATCACATTCATGTTTCCTTACATATGGTAAATAAACAGCGATATACATTGCCACCCCACCACCCCTGCTACCCACGCGATCTTTCCTCAAGGGAGTATTATAGCCAGGAATCATAAGCTGTTCACTTCAAATATTAGCATTAAGCCAAGTTTCCGAAACAGCAAAAATATCAAATGCATTCGATAAAATCAGTGCAGAGATTTCACTAAATTTGTCCGAAATAGAGAGACTACGAGCATTTAAATGTGCAACGGAAAGGCCAATTGTTGATCTATGCCCTGCTGCTGCTCTATGCGCTTGCAAATCATCCCCCAACAAATATATCATAGGAATGAATAATATACTCACCTCTTATTACACAGCCCGCCACAACAAAATCTCCTAATAGCCAAAATATTTCTAATGGATTCGGATAGATAAAACAAATAATGCACAAATAATACAGGAATAATTACACAACAGCCAAGCGAACTCAAAGACAAACAAATTACGACAACTAATGATTAGAAAAATTATGAAAGAAAAGTCGGTAGTCGGCCATGGCCAAGTTAGTCAAATTATTCTAAGTCATATCTCAATAAGTCCGAGTCTCTGCGAATTCTGACTGGTGGGCGGTCGGGTTTATCCTTGACCAAAATATAACCATCAGCAGTAAACACATAAGCCTTCCCTGCAATAGCATCAGAGACTCGTTTCAGCAGCTGCTGATTCATCCAAGTTAAATCTTCGTTCACGTAAAGCTTCTTCCCCTTTAATTTCCGTTTGTTTATCATTATTTTGTGTTTGGACTTGTAGCTCTTAAATTTAACTATTAACGCCCTCGCGCCACCTCTGTTGGGTTTGCCCATGCGATGAGCTTGATCGATTTCCTCATGCTTGACTTCAATGCCGAGTTCATTTCTACAAAACTCGATCACAGTTTTAAAGCAATCTTCCTTTGTGTCATACCCGTAACTATCAGCCGATGTTGAGTTATTCACCCTGTACATACGAACGTTGTACCGGCATGAGTATTGCTCATTTTCGTTGCATTTCTCCTCAAGTTGAAGCACTTTTTCCTCGAGTTTTATTATTTTCTCTTGAAATGGTTTCACCACTTGTGCAATCATGCCCAATAAAGCTTCTTTAAACCAATCTCTCAATAACTCCTTGAAGTCCGAGGGCATCAGATATTTTGATATTTTGGATTGCACAATCTCTTGAATATCTGCTTGAGTATTATTAGACCTGGTTTTTACACCAACAAGCAACATTTCCGTTCTTCAAACGTTTTAGTTAGACCACCAGTTTATACAAAGAACAATGTGCTTTCGAAATTATTTAAACTTTAGTTTAATACTGGCATTGACTGAACAACCGCCCTGAATTACATATTTGAGAAGCGATCTAAAACATGTCTGCTCGCTACGGTTGTCATGGTTATCCATTGATTCCCTTTTTTATTATATTGAATATTTTTTAAATAAAAAAAAGCAAAGTTATTTGCATGCTAGAATTTGAAATCAGTTTATTGCAAACTCAAAGTTTATCGATAAAGCCATTTAATTAGAGAACACTTTAATACGTTTTGTGAAGCGTTTGTGGTTGAATTTGACCTTAAATTGAAGCTTATATTATGTATAATATCATACCTAACATATATATGTTGGGAAATTGATAATTTTGTAATTAAAAGTGATATTTTTAAGCGATTTTTCATTTGTAAGAATATTCTTAAAAAATTATCGTGTTACTATGGCAACTACTTTAGATACTTCATGTTCAGAAAATACAATGGTTTTGTCAGCAAGGCGAGGGTTTTCTAGTAATAATAATCTTAATGAACTCCTTATCTTAGGAGCACTACTGATAAAGCGTAATATGCCACAACTCGATAGTGGTCTAAAAGCTTGTAAAAAACTACCATTGTTCTAAAGCCATTAGTCCATCATCACATTGGCTTACACATGAAACCTGTAATTTTATACTTCTGCTACGTCTGTAAATAGCTATACATATAGATCACGGCTTGCTTGTAATTTCATAGATCTGACGATATCTTTGGAATAAAGACGAAATATTACCGACTCTGTCTTTACACTCTTGTTTTTATCTTGAATATCAAGAACGCAAGATGTCTATTTTCGGAATTTGTTTTATTTTGTATTTTCTGAAGTTGTCTACTTGTCGTGGTTATTGCATTTATAGTGACACTGCATATTCTTTGGGAATTCACCTTCAAGGGCCCTTCAAGGATAGACAACTAACCCCAGAAATGCAAGACTACAACAAAGGGATGAGTGAGGTCAGAGTGGTTGTGGAGTGGATGTTTGGAAACATCACCTAGTTTTGTCAACTTTAAAAGGCAGATGAAAATCAATTTAAGTGCCATTGGCAAAATCATATTATTTGTGCCTTGCTTGAGAATGCTCATACCTGCCTCTATGGCAACATTGTTACAACTTTTTTTGCACTTCAACCACCTTCTTCATTTGAATATGACAATTCGATTCCTGTTAATTTTAATTGTACAAACCTTTTTTGGTGGTAAGATCGGCCATGAGAAAGGCTAATTAAGGGGCTGACTATTAGATTTCTGAAGGGAGGGGGGTTGAGTGATCTGGTATACGAGTGATGTTTTTTCAAATGCTTGTGTTTGCAAGAAAGTTATTTGGCCATTTTCTGCAATTTCACGGTGAAATTCATACAATGGGTTTAGGGGAATGCCACCCTGAGAAAAATTTGAATATTTTGATCCTCAGAAAGCCTGGAAATGTGCTGGGAGTCTTATGCCAGATATTATGTAAAATACATAA